TTCGGAATGTGCGTGAACGTTTCTAACAAAATCTTTATTCTTGTATGGAAGCGGGCGGTCACCAGTTTGAACATCTAATCAACTAAGTAGTAAGTAAGCAACTAAACAAAATTTAAATTTTAAAATGTAATTTTATTTCAAAGTATTGGGCGGAATTATAAAATTTAAATTCTGTTGTAAAGAGAATTGTAGAGCTTTCAAAAGAAATATTACTCAACCCCCAATGCCATTTAAATATTTTGGGGGTGAAAGTGGCGGAGTCAAAAATACCAGCAAAGAATGTCTAAAATCGACGGGTGTGAGCGTTTTTCTACAATCTTGACGCAGTCCTGAAAATGGCTCTGTTTCGTTTTCTTTTGGCCACCCTGTATGCTTATATGTTTCCTACTCCAATTCACGATTTATTAATTTTTTATAAACATTTTTATGCAAAAAACGCATTTTTTTAGTTTTTTGTTTATAAAACCTAAACTCACGAAGCAATCTGAATGCTACAAAGAGCAATTTGTAGAGAATCGAAATACGAATAAAACGAGAAGTCGATCGATCCGATCGGATAATTAGAAACGAAGAAAACCTGAAAAAATCGGAGAATTTAGGGTTTTTTAAAATTCATTACTCCGCCATTTTTTTCAGTTGTAGTGCTGATCCTGTGCACAAAAGTAATGAATTATATGTACGTTAAGTGTGCACAAAGCAGGCGCTGGTGGACCATTAGTTTTGACACAATTACAATTTGAATTTCTTGGTGTGCTATTTTGCAAAATCTCTGGATGCGCTGGAAGTGGTCGGATTTTAATTTTTCATACGGATTTTGAAATTAGAAATATAATACTACAAAACGTATATTCTAATTTTCTGATTAAATAGCTCTTATTATACAAAAAAAAAAAAAAGTTTTGAAATATACAACGCCAACTATATGACCGATTCTATAAGACGAAAATAACAGAAAAATATATAAAAAATAATCTAAGTTGTACTGGCAAAAAGACCATTATTGATATTAGGGGGGAGCAGGGGTTTGCACGGCCCAGAANTCAAAAGAAATATTACTCAACCCTCAATGCTATTTAAATATTTTGGGGTGATGCTTACCCTTGCTTGTGGGGTGAAAGTGGCGGAGTCAAAAATACCAGCAAAGAATGTCCCCCTTTAATCTAAAATTGACGAATCTGAGCGTTTTTCTACAATCTTGACGCAGTTCCTGAAAATGACTGTTTCATTTTCTTTTGGCCACCCTGCATGCTTATATTTTTCCTACTCCAATTCACGATTTATTAATTTTTTATAAACAAAAACGCATTTTTTTTAAGTTTTTCGTTTATATAACGAAGCAATCTGAATGCTACAAAGAGCAATTTGTAGAGAATCGAAATAGAATAAAACGAGAAGTCGATCGATCCGATCGGATAATTAGAAACGAAGAAAACTTGAAAAAATCGGAGAATTTAGCGTTTTTTAAAATTCATTACTCCGCCATTTTTTCAGTTGTAGTGCTGATCCTGTGCACAAAAGTAATGAATTATATGTACGTTAAGTGTGCACCATAGATAAGATATACTTGGTGTGCACAAAGCAGGCGTTGGTGGACCATTAGTTTTAGCACAATTACAATTTGAATTTTTTGGTGCACTATTTTGCAAAATCTCTGGATGCGCTGGAAGTGGTCGGATTTTAATTTTTCAGACGGATTTTGAAATTAGAAATATAATACTACAAAACGTATATTCTAATTTTCTGATTAAATAGCTCTTATTATACCCAAAAAAATAATAATAAGTGTTGAAATATACAACGCCAACTATATGACCGATTCTATAAGACGAAAATAACAGAAAAATATATAAAAAATAATCTTAGTTGTACTGGCAAAAAGACCATTATTGATATTAGGGGGGAGCAGGGGTTTGCACGGCCCAGAAAAAAAGATCTAATATTATCGTCTAGGTATAATATCGGCATATCGGTAAGTCGCTGACTACGTTACCTTTTTTTAGAACATTCATATGAATTAGATTTTGTGGAATTAATACTTTTTACATTTGACCCTATATTGTTTATACTATTGCTATTCCATTTAATTTCTAAAATTAGCATTACCTAGAAAATTACTCCCTATTTAAAAAAAAACTCTATTGGAACGGCTACTTTTAGACCGTATAAGAAATCATAAAAAACACGTGTTTCAGTTTAAACACGCTCCCTAATTGTTGGGTGTTAAACGCACTGAAGCTTTGGAAATGGAGCTTTGATTATAAAACTGTAATAAAAAGTAGCAAAATGTNACTTTTAGACCGTATAAGAAATCATAAAAAACACGTGTTTCAGTTTAAACACGCTCCCTAATTGTTGGGTATTAAACGCACTGTAACTTTGGAAATGGAGCTTTGATTATAAAACTGTAATAAAAAGTAGCAAAATGTTAGTAGTTGGTCTCGTTTTGAGCATAAACAAATGTATACCAGCTGTATCATGCAAAACTCCGGGGAGAAGGCCCGCTGAAATTTTTCGGGCGAAGAGTCCGGGGAATACTCAGGGAGAAAAGTCCGGGAAAAAAATCCGAGAAAAAATCCAGTGAAATTCCGGGAGAAAGTCCGGGTAAATCCCGAGGGAAAACTTCGGTAAAAGTCCTAGGAAAAAGTACGGGAGAAAAATCCGTTAGGAGACTCCGGAGAAAGGATCCGGGAAAAAACTCCGGGAAAAATCTCCTGCTTGCTAGCTGACTTAATATAAGTTAAAAAAGCAAAAATAAGTAAAAAATTATCCGTTTTTAGAATAGGATTTGTTTTAGTAAATGTTTAATTTTAATCAGACAACGATAGTAGTATATGACTATAAAACATTTAAATTCATAGGAATTAGATATTACGGAATTAATACTTTTTACATTTGACCCTATATTGATTCTAATCATGGGCGCAGTTAAGGGGGAGCTGGGGTGTGTACGGCCCACCCCCGAAAAAGGATCTAATATTATCGTCTATATAGATATCATATCGTCATATCGGTAAGTCACTGATTGCGTGACCTTTTTTTTAGAATGAAATCAAAACGTGTTCAGGTTTTTTGAAATTTTAGAGGCTCCATAGAGCTTGCAGCCTTGGGTCCACCCCAAGTAAAAATTCTAGCTACGCCCATGTTGATAGTGAAAGGATGGACCAACGTATCGAAAAAGAAAAATTTCAAAAAGTTGAAATTAAGTAGCTCTTTACAACTAACAAGCTAGGACGTGCAAAACAGTGTTATAAACAAATTGTCCCAGGGTCAGGCAAAAGCCGCTCGGGAATTCGCTCTTTTTGCATTAAGGTGGTCATATCCCTGACCGAGAAATAGTCATATTAGTGGCGTTTTTAGGTACTGAAATCTTGAAAAGTAAAACGTGTAGAACAAAAGTAAGCACAAAAATAAAAACATTAACGTTCTGTTTATTCATTGTTACTATTTAAATTTACTCAAATAAAATAATAACTTTAAAAAAGCGTTTGTAAAACATGCGTTTGCTGTTATCCTAATCCCACATTTTAAGAATTATTTTCACATACTTATAAATAAAAGTAAACAATTTTATATGTAGGACTAAGCAAGTAAATGTTATAAGAATTCATATTTACATGTGGAGTTATATATAAAAAAGTTTGTATTTTCGTAGATTTCAGTACCTAAAACCTTGATGGTTTGATCGTTTTTTGCACCTATTTATTCGTTTTACTGCGGCGTCTTTGAAAATACCCAGGTAGCATGACATAACATTCATATTATTTGATAAGCTTTAGATTATTCAGTTATTAAATGTTTGAAATTATATGTCTTTGAGGAAAACACTATTTAAAGAATATGGCGCCCTTAAATAGAGTTTAATTTTATGAATTAAAAAAAATGTAGGTAATTTAATTGCCTACAACATGAGATAGGTCGTCTAGATTTTCGTGGGCAGTAAAAAAGTGAAAAAACACGCAAATTTACTTATTTGCAATTTGTCAACTTCGCGTCACTTCTTTCGAGTTAATAAGTATCATAAAGTTCAAGAAAATGTGTACTAATAATTTTTTCGACTGAAGTATTATTAAAAATGAAATTTTCACATTAAATAAAACCAAATATTCTTAATCAAATTGGTGAGATTGGATTCAATTAGTACAGAAACTAACCTAAAATTTTAAGCCTGTATAAAAAAATATTCTGTTATAACGTGATGAAATTTAAGATATTGGGTTTTTAAGTGATAGGTACTTATTAAAGTTACATAGCCAAATTAAAAAATATTCCCAAAAGAAAATCCAAATTTACAAAACACATATTTATAAAATCTTTAGAGGTCTATTGTGTTTAGTTTTTCTTTTGTAAAACGAACAGTGTTAGAATTATTTTCAACATATTCAACTATGTGATATTCATTTTAAACCAAAAAATAATAACTGGAAACTGATTTGTCTATCGAATAAAATGGAAAAACCCTTTTTCCTTTGAAATACAATTGGGAATCAAATGAACCTGCGGAATTTTTAAAGTATCTAGTAAAATCGAAATACTGAGCTTCTTAATGACGGTGTTGATATATTGTATGAAAATTCAATGAATTTTTACCATTATTCAGCTGAGTTGCCACCAAGTTTCATTAGTTTATGTCGAACATATATTATTTCGAGATATTTGCTTATTTGTGCTGTTTTTCAACTTTGGGCAAGGCCCAATTATGTAATTTTATTATTATCAAGGTAACATTCTATCCCCTCATTTAAACACGCCCCGTATAACCGTTATAAAAAATTATGACACACTGCTATCACTGCAACCTTATCAATGAAGACCTGGAAACAGTTTATATGTTATCTGAACCTCATATGAAATTTGAATGTTACATTTACTTTATTTATGTACGCTACCAATATTCTTCATACACTTTTATCTGACACTTGGCAAATAGAGATTTTTAAGTCACATCAAGAGTTATCAAGTTTCTGCCATGCAAGAGATAACCACAGTAAAAGTTTATAGTTCATATTTCACCGCCGTTATGTATGTTGTAATTGATAAAAGGGGAAGCAATAATGCGACAAATTAAACATCATTCATTCAATTTAGACGTTTCTACAAGCGGTTATCGTCTAATTGAAAAAATGGCGTAAAACAAGTGAAACCTACGCGACAGTCCACGGCCGTCTCGGCTTTGTGCGGCTTCTTTGGGTGTCTTGTTTCGGCCGTTTTTGCTCAGAGTGTGTGAAACATGGCCGATCCCACTATCCAAACGTTCTGCTGTCACCACGCGAATGGCACCGACATGGCTGTGACTATTATGGAGGAATTCAACACGGACGCGTATAATAGTGTGTGTCTGTTTTCCTCTGCCCTGGGCATTTTGGGCGCCGTCTATCAGGTATAAGTTGATAAAAAATACCTCCAGAAACAAATAGACTCACTTTCCGATAGCCTGTAACGAATTTTGTACAGGTTGTTCTCATAACATTGTAGATGTTGACTTTTTATTTAGGAAATGATTGTAAATACCAAGATTTTAGGAAATTTCATTGCGATATCAGATAAATATACAGGATGTTCCAATATTCCGTGTACTATTTCCTTCGTTCAAAATAACCAGAATTAACTAGACCTACTGCTATCCTAAGTTGATTCGTTTAACCGCTAGAGTTGACAGAATAGCAAGCCATAAATCTGAAATTTTGACAACCTAGCAAAGGCAATAGGACCAATACAGCTAAAATATTTTGAACTTTATGGCGCTTCCGGTTATACCGGAAGTCGACGTTTCTTATTTTAAATAGGACACTCCATATATTATTACATTTTCGTATTCTACGTTAAATTTGAGGGTCACTTTATCAAATATTCCCTATAGCTGTGTTGTAAATTTTGAGATATTTGAAATTTGTTAGTTGCAGGGTCCGCAGAGATGCTAGTAACTCTTTTCAGGAGCGGGAAATCAGGTTGATTTTTGGTATCTGTAAGGGGCATAGGTAACACTAAATCATGGTATACCAACAAATTAAAACATTTAATACTAGGTGGTTCATTTTTGCTATTACATTTTTAGACTAGGCGGTATCTGTTTTGGTTTGGGTGAATCGTATATCCATGGAGATTTTTGGCTTTTTGGCTTCCAAATATCACTAAAAATGAAAATTTTTCTATGCGCATAAAAAAAACGTGGGCTTAACTTTTGGCAGCACAATATGTTAAAAAAATTCGAAAAATGTCATATTTTTCTTCCTATTTAATTATGTATCTTTTCAAGAGTTGATTTTAGGCGAAAATGGAAGAGGAAAAAAATGTTTCTAATTAAATTTTACAAAATATGATTAGTTACAAATCGAATGAATCATGATTATTGTAAAAATCGAAAAAATCGTCAAAAATGGGGTTAAAAAACAATACTTTTTAGGGAATTTTTTTGGGGTATTTAAATTGGGTATAGGACCTTTATACTTGGCCCAAGAAAACTTCATGTTATGTAGAATCATCACACCAAATTTCATCAAAATCGGTTAGATAGATTTTGCATAATAATGTTGCAATCCAGATTTTGAAAAAAAAAATGCAAATTTTCAAAATTGTACACAGCAAAGACCAAGGCCCTTAGATACTTGAAAATTTAATCACATATAGAAGGGCTCTCAAGCTTTCAAACGGTTTTTGAAAAATTGGAATCCGTCAATTAGGAGAGCTCTGGCGCTTGTTTAAACATTGGTCGAATGGTACATAATTAAATAGGAAGAAAAATATGACATTTTTCGATTTTTTTTAACATTTTGTGCCGCCAAAAGTTAAGCCCACGTTTTTTTTATGCACAGAAAAATTTTCATTTCTAGTGATATTTGAAAGCCAAAAAGTCAAAAATCTCCGTGGATACACGATCCACCCAAATATGGACTCTTTGAAACAGATACCTTCTGAACTATTTGATAACTTCACACTACTATATGTAGGTAACTTTGTTAACTTAAATGGAATACCCTGTATTTTTTTACTCTGTTGTATGCAGATTGAAATTTCCTATTCATTCCTGTAATTAAGCATTGTTAGGGCTACTGACATTTTGAAATATTTGCAATTTTCTATTTTTTTTAACAGTTTTTCTCGTATCAGACCTGTTATCAAATTGGCCATGACCAGAAACACTCCAAAAAAAATAACTAAAATAACTTGACATTTGTTCCATTATATGGCTTTATGTTAGTTTAGTATTAGTAAGGAGTTATGACTGAAAATGTAGCAAAGAAAGCTATATAGCTATTTCCGTATTTTCATCATAAATAGGTACTTTTTAATTATGTTTTACACAGTTTAAGTTTTTAAGATTGTCCAGTGTCCACTAATTGCCTTCATGTATTTCGTGAAGATCTTCGTTTTTCTAGATATCGAGCAGCAAATTCTCCACATTGAAATTACTTTGTCACATTGTCCATAAATAGCAAACAAATTAAAATAATCTTTGTTAGTATAATTTAAATGATCCCCAGGCATTTTTATTTAAATTTTCGGCAAAAACTATTACAGACACAAAAATAATTTGACTACTACTTGACAAATGTCAAATTATTTTAACTGTTTTTGGAGTGTTTCTGGTCATGGCCAATTTGATAACAGGTCTGATACGAGAAAAACTGTCCAAAAAATAGAAAATTGCAAATATCTTTAAAAGTAGTAACCACAACCCTAACAATGCTTATATGGCTTGAAAGGACATTTCAATCCGCATACGACAGAGAAAAAAATACAGGGTGTTCCATTTAAGTTAACCAAGTTGTTTGAAGTTATGAAAATGTAATAGAAAAAATGACATAGTATTAAATGTTTTAATTTGTTAAAGCATCTCCCTTTACAGCATCTCCGCGGACCTTTGCATCTGTCAAATTTTTCTTTAAAAATTAATATCTCAAAATCTATAACTCCTAGGTAGATAGTGACTCTCAAATTTCACGTAGAATCCTAAAATGCAATAATATATAGGGTGTCCCATTTAAAAATAAGAAATTTAATGTTGGCTTCCGGTATAACCGGAAGTGTCACAAAGTTCCAAATATTTTAGCTATGTTGCTCCTACTACCTTTGCTAGGTTGCCAAATTTTAAGATTTATCGGATCAGTACTTTCCAAGATATCGATAATGGCGATTCCTGCATAGAAACAATCGAATCGAATGTAATTTCGATGTCCTTTTAAATTTTTCAGATTCTACCCCGCGAAGAGTTTTCGAACAACCATAGATGGTTATCATTTTCGGCAATACGCGGAAGGAATATAATAATTTGGCTCGCTATAGCGGATTTGTTTGCAGCACTGGGTAAGTACCTACTTTTGATTTTAGAAATGCATGACATTTTATACATACCTAGGAAAGAGAGAGTGACAACAGAAAAATTGAGTAAACCTAAGGAGTGTACAACAAAAAGGTCAAGTATAGGCGTGATTTCAGGTTAACATGTTATCTTCCCCATCTTTTAAAAGGCATTTGTTGTAGCACCTTTACGATATACAAAGAATAAAACTGATTTAATTACTCGCTTGTTTTGCTCTTTTAAAATTGTTGAATAAGCCTATAAAATTTACATACTTACCTACCTCCACGAATTTTTTTTTCAAAATCGTTTTCCCATTGTAAACAAATTCAAAGTGAAGTAAATACACAGTATATTTTATTATAAAGACTCCGAGCTATAATTCGTTTACCCATTTTTGGATACCATGTATATATTTTTAAATACGATGTTATTTTCTTTATATATTTTTTAAATGGGATTATATTTTTTTTTTCCACGTTTTGATTGATTTTTTTTATTTTCTTTCCAACTACATAAAATTTGTATGCCTTTGCATGACGACATTCTTGAGAAAAAATGAGAAAACTTTCAGCTTTTGACTTTAGTTTACGGTGGTAGCTTTCTAAATCATATCAAATAGAAGGCGATGCAAAAACAATTTTGCATATGGCTATTTGTCACATATCGGTTTGTTTGTAATTGTCAACCTCACTCAACGGTTATATCACAGTAAAACTAGATAATTAATTTTCTAAAATATCTTTGATGCTTTTGCGGGAAATTTTTAAGCGTTTAATAAATTGTAATTATTTTATTATTTAGGAGTCTTTACCAGGTCGGCGATCTGGATTAATTATAGGAATATAATGCCTGCAGTGGATGATGATTCCAGTGTACTTTTTTGTGCAATTTCATCCGTAAGTAATACTGAACATATATATTGTAGTAATTCTGCATTATACTTAATTTTGTAGATTGTAGAGTAATTCTTAAAAAAATTGACTACTTGGAACTTTATAAATTGCTTTTTTTCCAAAGTATTTGAAAGATCACAATTTTTAGAACAAGTTTTATTGGCAATGAAATGTCCGAATATTTATATAAATCAGTCTGAATTACTTCTGTATATTTTATAGTAAACATTTTTCACATTTCGATTATTTTTTTATTTGTCTTTTTGTCGTTTTTAAAATTTATCGATTTTTTTTCCATTCGTCGATGTTGTTATTTCTTTGTTAGAAACGAGGTTACAAAGTTGACAGAATATAATGTGAATTTAGTGAAGGGGATTTATTGGTCTGTTATCTTAAAATAAATACAAGTAATGGAATATATTTAAAAATAAGCCACATACATGCATATGTCAAGACAATTACCATGTACTCATAAATTTTAATATCTACTTGGGACAGGTTTATCAAAACAAAAAATTCTGCGAAATATTATAAAGTCTTAGCATATGCATACATTTCAAGAAAAAAGTAAAGCAACTGCGGTCTTAACAAATAACAAAATAATAAAACTTTCGTTCTTTCCGTTTTTAGTACCTAGTGCGACTGTTGTCCATTAACTTGTATATTTTTTTTGTATAAAATATTCCTTTACACATACGATTACGATACAAAATTTCGATTTTCCCAATAATTTTCCCGTATATTTTTTAAATGAAGTACAGATTTTGTGAAAATTAATGGTTTGGTGTCAAAATAATGGTCAATTCATTTTTAAATAACAAAAATGAATTAGAGAAAAAAAAAATTGTGGAAAATTCTAGGAAAATTTTATATAGTTTTCCCAGGTTTGTATATTTAAGGCATCAAACGTATCATTTTATTGATTTTCGATTACGAATTAATTAAGCACTTTTTAATATTTTCCAGAAAAATCTGTTTTCTTTGATTTTTTTTACTTTGAATATTAAAAAATAAAAATTTGGAATATAATGAAATTGAAAATTTAAATTTGATGACAATAGCAAAGGTATAATAAAAAACATCAAAATATTTTTTTTATTTATTTATTTAAAAAACTTTTGTATTTTTTATTTTTAACAATTTTTTATGGACTTACATAACTAGGTTTCTTATGTAAAACTGTTTTATCGCTGTCGCAATTTTTTTTTTACTTTAAATATAAAATAAAAATTTGTAATGTAATGAAATTGAAAATTTAAATTTGACGGCAGTAGGAAAGGAATTTTCTGCAACTAAAAATATGTATTAAAAAATATTTATATCAATATATTTTTTTTATTTATTTATAATTAAAAAAAAAATTATTTATTATTTTTAACAATTTTTTATAGACCATATCTCGGTTTCTTATGTAAAACTACTTCAACGCTGTCGCAAAAAAATATTAAAAAAAAGATTTTTCTGTAAAATAAAAAGCACATAATTAATTCGTAATTTACACCTTCGAAAACCTATAAACCGATACGTTTGATGTTTGATGGTCATAAATATTCAAACATCGGAAAACTATATAAGATTTTCCAAGAATTCTCCGCAATTTACTTTTCACTAATCCATTTTTGTTATTTCAAAATGAATTGATCATTATTTTGGCTTCAAAACATTAATATTCGCATACTTTATAGGTACTTCATTTAAAAATATACGGGAAAACTATTGGGAAAATCGAAATTTTTCATGGGAGCAATTTTGTAGGAAATTTAATTTTGAACATCTTTTATTTGAAACTTTTTTTCGAGAAAATGCATCTTCTTTGAGATATTGGCAGTGTTTGGTCAAAAAACGCGAAAATTCATGTACAGGCTAATTCAAAATTCAGTACAAAGAATTTAGGAGCTTATTTTTGAGATCAAAATAAGACTTTTTTTTCCTATAAACGTGGGTTCACAAATGCTTAGTTTCGATTTACAGGGTGTTAAAGTTTTCTATTTTGTTCCGATTTTTTTAGGAATAATTTCTAAAGAGAAATAGATGTTAAGTATGATTCTTTTATTGACCGGAACATCAGCTTTTAATTATTGTACTTTGCATATTGCACTTTCAGCATAAATATTAATAACAAATAAGTTACATTTTTGACGTAACTGAAGTATACTAGCCACGATTCATCTCGTGCAATCTTTCAGGCTTTCACGCAATATTTCTACACGGCAACATGTATATGGACCTTATGTTATGCCATAGATATGAGGTTTGTCCTGACACATAAAGACAGCAAAATGAAGTACTATCATTTAGCAGCCTGGATCTTCCCTGTCTTTTCCACAGTGATAGGACTGTCCCTCTTGTATATTCCAGACGCAAAGTAAGTGATATCCTTTTAGTGATAATTATGCTCAAATCAAAAGCCACATTAGAATACCTACTCTATATTTTTTCAACCTATGAACACTGTTTCAAAAGGTATTCAAAATTAAAAAAAAAATATTTGAAGCTTACTTTCGAGATTATTTTTTTAAGATGTAGGGATGTCTACAAAAAAAAAACAGTTACAAATAAATAAGAGAATATATGAGACTTTATGCGTATACTTCTGTTTATTTTTAATCGCAAAATCTAAACGCTAATAAAAAAAATTTCAATGGATTTAGCTGCCTTATTTACACAAGACAATATAAGTACCCATAATAAGACATGTCTAAATAATTCACAATTATGTAAAATGAGGGTGACCTTGACTGATAAGCTGCTGCGCTGCAATTACTTACTGTCCTGCCTGTATACTTACTAGTATTATTATTAATAATTACCCGTAGAGTAGAACCAGAAATAAGTAGATCTAGGAAGATAATTACCGTTCTCGTTGTAGTGACGGAATATTTAATTTAGATATAAATCTTGAAAATGTTTGAAAAAAATTATATAGGATATTTGTCGTCAACGTAGTTTACGAATTATTGAAACCATTGCTGTTTGCTGCTTTAAAATAAATGAATTAAATATGTAACGAGCGTTCAAATAAAAACGTGGTCGAAGTTGGCTCTGACACATTGGACGTAGGGAGTAGCTTATAGCGACCAACTTAACCTCATTTCTCAACGAGCTGTATAGCAGCTGTCAGTTTCAATAACGTTAATGACTATATAACTTTATTTTAAAGAATAATCGTGATAACAATAACAAACAATTAAAGGAGCTGCGGAAAGTGTCCCCCTCCTTGTTATAACAATAAATTAAAGCAGCTGCTGAAAGTGTCCCCCTCCTTGTTCCAAGCACTTTTCACACCTGTTCCTCAAAGAATTAAAGACATTTTCTAAGATGCTCGGGGTATTGTTAATTTCACGAATCTTGTCTATAAGTCGAGCCTGCAGATGGTTTAAATCAGGAATAGGCAGTTCAAAAATAGTGTTTTTAAGGTAAGGCCACAAAAAGAAATCACACGGCGTAATATCACATGACCTCGGTGGAAATTCATGTTCAGCATTGAGACTTATTAGTCGATTTTGGAAAACTTCCCTCAACATATTCATCGTCTCGCCTGCCGTATGTGCCCTTGCGCCATCTTGTTGAAAGTAAAAGTTTGTAATTTCGTTTTCTTCCAGCTGGTTAACAAAAGGAGCGATAATTTCTTCTCTATACCTTTGCGCAGTAAGAGTACCATTAAAAAAAATAGGTCCATAAATCCTCCTTCGATTGAGAGCACACCAAACTCCAATTTTTTGAGCGTGTAGAGGGCCCTCGACAAAAAAGTTATCTGGTTTTTCAGAAGACCACATTCTCATATTCTGTGAGTTTACGTAACCACTTAAATGAAACCAGGCTTCATCAGAAAAAAAGGTGATATTATGAAGTTCACCGTAGTTGTTTAAAAACCATTCACAAAATACAGCCCGTCGCGGAAAATCAACTTCATGAAGTTCTTGCTGACAAGTTAAACGATAGGAGAACAAACGCAAATCTTTTTTTAACACTGTGTGGCAGGTACCGACTGATACTCCCACCATTTGTGATAAAACACGTACAGAAGTTCTTGGCGCATTTTCCATTATTTGTTGGACATTTTCTTTTAATTCTTCAGTCCGCTTTTTAGGTCGGCCGCTTCCTTCTTTTCTTGTTACACTGCCCCGTTTCACGAAAAACATTAACACAACGCTGAACTGCACTTTGAAAAATTTTGTACTCAACAACGCCGGGAAATTGATTTTGAAATTCTATGAAACATCCTCAATAGAATACTTCCATATTCCATCAATCTTGCGTCCATTTCTAAAGTAGGACTCTATGATAAACACTTTTTGTTCTTAAGAAAACACCATTTTAAATGCTTTTTAAAACGAAAATATTCAAATTGATAGCGGCGATATAGCGCTTTGACAGAAGACGTTTAAGTTCATTTGCCTATACGCTACGCCCTACGTCCAAATTTTCAGAACCAACTTGACCACGTTTTTATTTGAACGCTCGTTATAATCATTTTGTATATTCTCAGTATTGTGCCGTTCATTTCGTATACTTCCATGCGTTTTATTGTTATATACAAGCATCAATTTTTATCTTTACTTTGTATGTACAAAAAGATATCGAATATGTGACAGTATTAATAATCTCCGAGATCACTATGACAATATACAGGGTGATTCACAAACTGTGACCAAAAATGAAACTTCATATTCTTTGGTGAATTTTAAGGGGATTCTTTCCTATAAAGTTTTTATCTAGGACGCTTCTTCAAAAAGACATAGGGTGTAAAACTTAAAAAAATATATTTTTAATTTCTTTAAATAATTTAAAAACTAGTAAGTGGAATATGTAATTTGAAATGGGGCACATGTATTTATGTAAATTAAACATTGTCCAAAATATGAGGCCTTTTCCTAAAATTTAGATAACAGTCATGATATTTTCGGATTCGTCTTTCAATTTTCTACTCTTTTATGTTTTTCGAGCAAAAATTAAAAACCTAACTGAAAACGCACTTCGATATTCGGATAAAATGTGTTTAAAATTACATAGTAGGCTGCGATAGCAATTTTGACGTTCTGAGTAGTTAGAAGAAAGAATAAATGACGTTGCTTTTCATCAGATTCAAGCAACAATAAATTTCGTACAAATTATATTTTCGTTACCTACTAAAAAGATGTCGCGCCTGTGTTCGTGGAAATGAAGGTATTTTTGAACATTTACTCAAATAAAATCATTAAAATAATGACTAATATTATTGATTTCTTTATTCGAATAAATAACCAAATTATTAGTGTTTGTCATGTTATTTAAGTAAAAGTATTTTCAGTTCGGTTTTTTTTACTCCAAAATCAGGTTTTTTCGAAAAACATAAGAGAGTAGTAATTTGTAGAAAATTGAAAGACGAATCCGAAAATATCATGACTCTTACCGTAAAGCAGTGGCGTACTATTTTATTTAGAAAAATATGCTACCGACAATGTTTACATAAATACATGTGCCCAATTTCAAATTATTTCACTTAATAGTTTTTAAATTATTTAAAAAAATTAAAAACATTTTTTTAAGTTTAACACCCTGTATCTTTCTAACGAAGCGTCCTAGATAAAAACTTTATAGGAAAGACTACCATTAAAATTCAATAAAGAATACAAGGTTTCAATTTTGGTCGCCGTTTGTGAATCACCCTGTATATCTCATACTCTAGTCGAATTAGTTTGAACCTGAAAAAATTATTAGTACCTAGACATTTTAATGACAGGGAAATAAGTGGCAATTTTATGTTTTTTCACTTTTTTTTACTGTCCACCAAAATTTAGACGAAATATCGGGATATTAGTTATTTTATGTTGTAGACAATTAAATTACCTACAATTTGAGGTACCTAGAGTCATTTTTCGCTAATTTGTTAACTGTAAAATAAAAGTCGAACGCGGAAATATCAGTTTTCGAAAATTGCGCATTATTATTGCAAAAATCGATGGATGTTGATGAAATTTATGGAAAAGACGATCAATCCAAAGACCAACATGTGTGCCAAACGCTAGTTCAATATTGACCTTGAAATTATTGCTTCAGATATTTTTTAATTAATTTCATTCGTTTTTTTGCAACTAAACGTTAATTTTAGAAGTTAATATCGTAGATATAGGTTCTAATAATTGAAATCGAAAAATAAATATTTCAAAAATTTGAAATTAAGTTGCTCTTTACATACTAACAAAGTAGGACGTTCAAAACAGCGTTATAAACAAATTGTCCCAGGGTCAGGCAAAAACCGCTCGGGAATTCGCTCTTTTTGTATTAAATAGAGATTATTTTAATTCGTTATAACGCGCAATAAAATGTCTACTAATCATTTTTTCAAATTTTTAGGTTTTATGATCTAATTCGACTGGAGTATTACTGCAATGTGGCGACAATAAAAAAAATAATATTTTTATAAATTACTTACAATCTAATTAAGTTTATGTATTTTATTATTATGTAGGTACCTTTATCAGTCTTTTCCATTTTGTTATATTATTAATTAACTTCCAATTGCAAGAAAAGGAAAAGTCAGATACTTAAAATACAGGGTGATTTACAACTTATCCAAAAAAAATTTGGGAGTAGATGTGGCATGAGAAATGGAGTCAATATCGTAAAAAAAATTTTGTAAAATCCTTATAGTTTCCGAGAAAAAAATTATTGAAGTTGTAGTACATTCAACCATTACATAGCTGGACAACTGTAGACTCTAGCGTCATTCGCAATACGCGTGGAGAGCCACGTGGCCTCAGCGACTCAGAATACTGAAATTTTAAAATCGTTGTTGCGATAATGTTTACCTGTTACCTGTGGTATTTACAATAGTTTTTTTAGTGTTTTGTTAGTATCAAAAATGGTTTGCGTGTATAGCAACTGGTAGTTGATGATATCGTTTTAATTTCTGGTGAAACAAGACAACATTTACGTTAGTTCGTAAAAACTGAGTAAGACGAACCCAAATGTGTTTACACATCGGTGGATGAAATTTTGAACAGTTGTTGTAACATCGGTTATGTCAAAGTATTTTATTATTTAGACACAAATTAATTTTATTAATTAATAGTAACGGCAAAATCAGTTAAATTTGCTGATATAAAATAGGCGCTATAAAATTATATTTATTTCTTTCCTTGCGAAAGTTTTTNTATTTTATTATTATGTAGGTACCTTTATCAGTCTTTTCCATTTTGTTATATTATTAATTAACTTCCAATTGCAAGAAAAGGAAAAGTCAGATACTTGAAATACAGGGTGATTCACAACTTATCCAAAAAAATTTGGGAATAGATGCGGCATGAGAAATGGGAGTCAATATCGTAAAAAAAAATTTTGTGAAATCCTTATAGTTTCCGAAAAAAAATATTATTGAAGTTGTAGCACATTCAACCATTACATAGCTGGACAACTGTAGACTCTAGCGTCATTCGCAATACGCGTGGAGAGCCACGTGGCCTCAGCGACTCAGAATGCTGAAATACGATTTTAAAATCGTTGTTGCGATAGTGTTTACCTGTTACCTGTGGTATTTACAATAGTTTTTTAGTGTTTTGTTAGTATCAAAAATGGTTTGCGTGTATAGCAACTGGAAGTTGATGGATATCGTTTTAATTTCTGGTAAAACAAGACAACATTTCTGTTAGTTCGTAAAAACTGAGTAAGACGAACCTAAATGTGTTTACACATCGGTGGATGAAATTTTGAACAGTTGTTGTAACATCGGGTATGTTAAATTAGGTATTTTATTATTTAAAAACACAAATTAATTTTATTAATTAATAGTAACGGCAAAATCAGTTGAATTTGCTGATATAAAATAGGCGCTATAAAATTCTATTTATTTCTTTCCTTGCAAAAGTTTTTGTCCGTTTTTATCACACTTTGTAGTCATGTCGGTCGCATTGGGAAAGGTCAGGTTTTACAGTGGACCAGTTTCCAGTGCCGTGCAGAAGTGTATTTTTAAATCATTTTCGAACTGCCCTTTTTGATTTTTTCTTTACAAAATTGGGTTTGTAAGAGTCGTCTGTACATCCAAATTTTTTTTTTTTTGGATAAGTTCTGAATCACCCTGTATATAGAGGACGAAACGGCATTGAGCTAATCTGGGTGAATATAAAAACTTATGTAGTAAGAAATAACACAACATTAATAATTAGGAAATGTAATATATCCTCCAATATTTTCAAGTTGACCTTGGCTTGACCTTGAAAACTAAAATCAAGGCCAAATTCATTCATTCAATGATTTCTTGGTATCCTACAACATTTATCTGAAACTTTTTTGATAAGAAAGTGTCTTTTTATAATTAAAACTTCAATTTTTCAGTTGCCACACTTCCTCTTCCCTTCGAACGGCCATACTACGAATCCTGCCCAACTACATAGCCTCTTACATACCCATAGCCACGGTGATGGTGGCCAACCCGTGCCTGTACCACCACTCCACGAAGGACTTGGAAAACATCATCACGAGCACCTCCGGTCAGTTCACCAGCAGGGAAAGGGAGATCATCGACGCGATAAAAATAAAATTTTCCGTGATAAACGTGATATTTTACGTCTGCTGGCTGCCCAATTTACTCAACGGCATCCTCCTGTGGACGTTGTGGTTCCACGTACCCGCAGACTGCGTTATTGTTTTGTGGTACATTATGGTATGTATACGGGTTACTAAAAAAATCAACATTCCAAGAAAATCAATCAATTTGTCATATTTTAGGCTCTGATGAACCCGCTGCAAGCCCTCTTCAACTGCTTGGTTTACAGGCGATGGAGTAGCGGGTCCGAAAGGGTGATTTTACCCTGGAGGCAATTGGACGGGACCGAAATAAACAAAACCACCTCGGCGAGCACGGAGTCTTCGCAGAGTACAGCGAGGGAAGAGATTTATCCCCTCCTCCAAAGCACCCCCACGAACAGTATAAACGGGTACAAAAGCTTCCCATAAAAATGTGCGTAAAATTCAAATCCTATAAAAGTTATATGGCGAGTGTAGTTGTGTATGTACATATAATTTTATTATATTTGTATCAATGTGATTTTTGTAATTTTATAGAAATAATAATTTCTAAAATTTTAGTACTTATTTGTATTTTTCAAGCTCTGGTCATTGCAGAACTGCCTACTGATTTATAAAGTTAGAACTGAAAATAAATGTTAAATTTAATTTTTTTATTTACAACTTGCAGCTCCAGTTGCAAACACAAAAATTAGCAAAACAAAAATAAAGGAACTGGATCTACAACACTTTCGGCAAATCAAAAATAACAAATTTTCCAAATTAAAAACAATATGATTAAAGAAATACTACAAAGACAAAAAATGAGGATGGTTGAAGATATACAGGGTGGGCCATTAGTGTGAGAAAGTAAAATAACTCCTTTGTTACTCATAATACAGAAAAAAAGTTTATATAAAAGTTGTACAGAATCAAGACACCTAAACTGCAAAATTAATTTGATACATATAGGGTGATGAGTAAAAACGGGACACGGCAAATATTACATTTTTTAAATGGAACACCCTGTATATTTTTAAATATGTGGATTTCCAAGAAAATTCTATATATGGCAATATAAACAGTTTAACATTTTAGTGCGGGGTTGCCAAGTTATGTAGAAAACTTGGAAATTTTGGAAAAAACATGACCTCGAAGAAGTTGTATTAACTTTCAACTACCAACACTTGGAGCAAAAATATTTGACAGAGTTATAGGCAAATGCTAGGCAAATACTCCTATATTAGCTAATATCGATATTTCATACGGGACATTTTTTATAATACGATCATTTTTAGAAAGTTTAAACTTGATTTTCTAAAATTTTTCAAATGGAACACCCTGTATTTTATCATTCTATTTTATTCACATATCAGTCCACTTTAACTTTGATTAAGCATGTTCTATATCCAAAATTGTTTTTAAAAAATAGCAACATTTCTGAAAAAACTTTTTTATTATTTTATAGAATTCCACAAATAAATATTAACTAATAAAGTTAACTCAAAACGGAATGATAAATTATGAACTGACAAGTTGATACAATGTGACAGTTTTTTTCCAAAAGCCATTTCGTGCGACCGAAAATAATAAAAATTAAGTTTTTTCCAGAAATCTTAAAAACTAACAAATTTAGATGTAGAACATGCTTAATAAAAGTTGAAATGGAGTGATATGTGAATAGATTAGAACAATAAAATACAGGCTGTTCCATTTGAAAAATGTTAGAAAATCAAGTTTGAACTTTCTTAAAATGATCGTATTATAAAAAATGCCCTGTATTAAATATCGATATTAGCTAATACTGGAGTCTTTGCCTAACATTTGCCTATAACTCTGTCAAATATTTTTGCTTCAAGTGTTAGTAGTTGAAAGTTAATACAACTTCTTCGAGGTTTTTTCCAAAATTCGAAGAATTTTCTACATAACTTGGCAACTCCGCATAAAAATGTTAAACTGTTTATATTGCCATATTTAGAATTTTCTCAGAAATCCATATAATTAAAAATATACAGGGTGTTCCGTTTAAAAAATGTAATATTTGGCGTGTCCCGTTTTTACTCATCGACCTGTGTGTTTCAAATTAATTTTGTCCTTTACGTTTTTTGATTCTGTACAACTTTTATATAAATTTTTTTTCTGTATTATGAATAAGAAGGGGGTTATTTTACTTTCTCACACTAATGGCCCACCCTGTAGATTACAAATAAAAAATATAATGCAAAAATGTTATTAAAAATATTCGATTGACCTAATCTAACCTATTCTAACCTAATTTAACCTAATCCATGCTCAAGGTCGCTAAAGTACAAGAAAATCAAAGTCTGGTCGCCCAGTTGAAGAATACGCACGCGGGCAAACGGCAAACAAACACAGCCGGACTGGGCGACCCAGCCATAAATTCGACAAATTGCCTAGCAGTGCAGTGCAGCAATGCGGAATTCGGTGTGATTCAGGTAATTTTAATTTATTATAGGCACCTTCTATTAATCATTTATATTACAGAAATAAGAGGGATATTTTGTTTACTAATATTATTACAACATGGCATTTTGGAGACGTTTTGAAACGGAACAAAACGAAATACCGCTAGACAATATTGAATCAGTAGAACCGGTTGTTGATGAAACAGATTTAGAATTTAAAAATAAAGATTTACATGTTCAATGTTTGCGTCTCATTTTAAATATTTACGATTGTTTAAAAAAGGAAGAAAATGAAAAACTTGGTAATGAAATTATAAATAGAATTCACATATTAACTAAAGTTCACAATTTTTCGAATTATTAAACAAGGTGTTATAGATCATTGCGTAAAGAGGAAGCGAAAACAAACATCTAAAAATATCGATGACATGACGCGAGCGCGAGACGTAATTCGGTGGACAGTTTATAATTTATATAAAGAAAATTGAAGACATAAATAATTAAAATATGTTGTTGGCCAAATGAACATATAATAGAAATTTTCTACACATTATATACAAATTTTTATTTTTTTTTAGCTTTAGCAGAAAACTTTTTTAGGGACGCCCATGAAAGTCATTAAATTTTATTGATAGGCTTTTTTATACATATTCAACTAACTTCAAAAAGACTATACTTGTAAAAGTAATATGTAGAGTGGGAAAGAGAAACTGCATTTTGCAATGATTTTAAAGGTATCTATATCTGATCAATTTTAATACAAATTATACAACATAATCGCAACCTTTTTCTAAATAATTACCACCAAAAGAGCAACACACCTGCTTGTATAAAAAAATATATATACCTACCTACTTACAAATAAGAATCTAAATTTGAAGTATTTTTTAGATTAGATCAGATTATCTCTGGCAGTAAAACTAAATTTTTGTCGCATACAGGAAAAGGTAAACTCATTTTTAATTGTACATTTCCTTCCTGTCGCCTTTAAATTGAAACCGAGGACACTATTTCTGAATGTGAAAGTATTTAGTAGTTCTAAATGACGATTTAAACCTACTTAATAGATTTCATAATACAACGTTTATGTTTATGATGAGATAAATGTTAACAAGTCTTACTAGATATTTTAGAAATTCAAAAAAATATTAGAGGACGACACTGAAAGTAACCACCGCAACTTATTCAGGCTGAATAGTATACCTTCTGACGCAAATATCAACATATGCAGCGATCTCTTTCTCCCCAACGGTAATCTATCTATCTGTCTCGTTTTATTACCATGAATCAAATGTCAAAATGATCATCTTTTCCCAGGAAGACGATTTTTTTTTATTATTTATTAAATGTTTACATGAACAATATAGTGAGAAAAAACAGTAATTGCATTCAAACAAGTTATTGAATCAACAGTTACGAGTTAAAAACTATTATTAACATGTACAATGCTACAATTCTGGAAAAAATCGGGTAAATTATTTAAGACGTATATTATTTTTAGGTTAGATCATAATTTCCTTTTAAAAAATTATAGGTCACGACAAAAATCGCCCAAATTTTTCATCGACAGCTTTCTCATCTGTAGATAGACGCTCTCCCAAACAAGGATCATTAGAAAAAGAAAACCAAAACTGTAATGCGAAACGAAATGATCCTTTGCCTTTAGCATCCTTTGACGATGAGGGTCTTTTTGACATAGGTAAGTACAAAGTTGCAGCTCACGGATTTTCAGTAAAGTTATGTTTTATTTCTTTTAGGAGAATTTGAATCTTCTAAAGAAAGATCGCGACTATCCAAAACGTTACAAGAAATAATATCGGATAAAAGTGCCCTTGGATATTTCATACAATATATGGAATCTAGAAACGCCTCTCCATATATACTATGTTGGTTAGACATAGAAACATTCAAATCGGACTTAAACCATTGTAGTGAGAGTGTTAAAAAGGGTTCAAATTTTTCTCCAGTGCCAAATAGTCAGACAGATCATGACAGTCTATCTGTGAGTACCGACTGTGATTCTTACACGGCTGATTCAAACAGCTTGTGTGACTTTTCAACAGCCACACTATCGGAAGTGAAAACACCTCTTGAGTTCAACGGCTGTGATAGGGACAACAGTGATAGTAGCATTAAGTTGAAAACACTAAGTGAAGATATAAGTGTTAGTGAAAAAAAGAATGTACAAAATACGGTAAACAATGCTCTGGTGATATTTAAAAAGTATATCGCGCAAGAAGCCCAACACAACATAAAGTGTTCGGAAGAAGTAAGGAAGGAAGTGATGGAAAATATTTGCAATAAAGAACGGGTGCTCTCTGGTAACTGTTTTGACTTGGTGCAAGCGTGCATATACGAAGTTATGGAGAACGAGTACTTCGCCGCATTCCTAGGTACGGATTATTTTTGTAAACATCAAATAGACGTGCTTACTAGCGGCAACGTGGTGCTGGAGGATATATTGTACAATGAAACTGCTTTGTTTTATTTCATGGAGTATCTGGAACAAGAAAACCAACGTTGCTTACTGGAATTCTGGATGGCCGCTTCGAACTTACAGCAACAACTGCATGACCAGAAGGAGTTTTATGACCCTGTGGAGGCGCAGAACGACGCTGTAGTCTTGTACGACAAATATTTCTCGTTGCAAGCCCACTGCCCTCTCGGATTTAGCGATAAGGTGCGGTTGGCCGTCGAACAGAATATTTGCGGGGAAAACGGCTTGATACTCGACTGTTTTCATTTGCCCTTGAAAATAGTAGAGAAAGTTCTCGAGAAGAATTACTTGAAGCCGTTCCTAGCGTCTCAGTTGTTTTACAAGTATTTATCGGATTTGATAAACACAGTTCAATCAAACGGTTATTCTACCAATATCGAACGTAACAAACACTCACCCTCAGACTGTAGCAGCGAGAAAAGTTTCGGTCAGAGTACGTTTCTCGCATTAGAAGTCCCTTATAAACAGACTAAAAAAGAGAAAACGACAGACATGAGTATCGACACAAGAGAACTGTACGACCCGGATTCTCTTTGGAAACGAAGGAAAAACCACAGGCTTTCCCTAGGGCGAGTCAGTGAGCTGGGCAAGTACGAAACTGACTTCGAGCCGGAACCCGACAGAAAGGAATTCAATTTGAAAGATGTGGTGAAAAAGTTTGTTAGTTTGGAGGAGGAACAGAAGAAGAAGGAGGAGATGGCTTGGCAAGTCGCCGAAATGATCGTTAAAGATATCACTAGTGTCACGTTAAATGATCATAACGGGTAGATTATAAGTAAATTTGTGGATTAAGATTCATTTTACAGATCGATTTATAACGAGTTAAAGAAGTACAAACCAGTTCAGATATTTTTTAGTGCCCTCACTTTTTTAATAAAAATAAAATTAATGTGCCACTAAAAACGGACGTTAGTTTTAAAGTTGATTTTTAGGTATGTAACTAATTTTAATAACCTTTGGTGTGAATTATAGGTTTATTCCTCAATAATGACGCTAGAATTCAAATTTTTAAAGTTATATATTCAACAGAACACAGTATATTCATAAAGAACCTTTATTTTTCTTAGTACTAGACAAGTTTGTTAACTGTAACAGACTGTCAACCCAAAAACAAATGAATGATAAATAGTACATTTAGCCTACCAGTAGTTATTTTAAACTTTTCGAATTAGCATAACCTCAACACGGACTGAAAGTGGGTGATTTTAAAGTAAAAATGTTATAAATGGTTTTCAATATACAGAGTGTTGAAATTTAAAAAAGTTTCACCTTTTCATTTATTTTGAATTTACTTTTTTCTGAACATGGAAACCCCTTGCTACCTCTAGCAAAAATGTAAGTTTATAAACAATTTCTATCAAATGCCCATGAAATTTTTTCTAGGCATGAGTGTTTAGTAACAAATTTTTATGGCACTACGAGGTGAGATAATTTCAATAAAATTTCTGTTTTAAAGTCATAATCCTGTAATTCAATAAAAATATCGTCAAAAATCAGTCTAGTTGTACACGGGAAAATCAACTTTCAAACTGTATAATTTTTTTTGTGGCGCAAAGCGATATTGGTATATTATTTTTCTGTAAGCACAAGTTCAATTTAGATATCTTTAAAATTATCAAGGCAAGAGCACTGACAATACAAAGATAGCAAAGGTCAACTGTGTGTATCTTTTATGGGATAAAAATTGTCCATGTTTAAGTATTCCCTTTAATTTTGTTCCACCTGATAAAAGTCGTACTTGAACCATTCTATTTATAGCACATTTTTTTTAAAACAAGGCATATCCTTCAAAAAAACTTTTTTTAATTAGGAATTTCTTACTTAAATACTTTTAAAAATATATTTTATTGCTTGGAAATATTTACGCTAGGTATATATTAATTTAAAAAGGAGACTAACACATTTTATTTGTTGCGAAGTATTGTTGTAAAATTTTAAAAAATGATTAACATTCCTAATAATTTGCGGTTTAAACTCTCTTCTGCAATGGAACCTAGTCATGTCATTTAGTTTTTATTTATCTTTATCAGATATGTGTGCGCTTCCCTTATTTTTAGCAAAACCTATGAACAAATTTTTTAAGACGTAATCATTTCTATTGTATAATTATATAATAGCTGTGTAATATAATTCTTAGAAGAGTTAGACACTATTTATATTTATATATATTTGAAGAAAAAATATGGTACTGTATTGCGAAATTAAATAAACTTATAATTTTAAAGGTTTTTTTTTTCTACCTTTTATTTGTTAAATAATATTTTTCTATGCAGTTGGTTCTTGGAAAATCTGGATGTATGATAATAAAAAATCTCCATTTGATAAGAATTTAATCCAATATCACCTTTAACAGAAATTTTAATATATTTCGCTAAGGATAGTAATAATAATAGTCTTGTTTTTTTATTCTTTCAATTTCTTGGGTCACAAATACAAAACTGTTTTGAGGGACTGTAAAGCAAGTAAGTCTATTGCTAGTCTAATTATAGACATAAATATATTTTTAGACAGAAACAAGTTCGAGCTAAAAATTATATTAAGAACCCTATCATTCGACAAGTTTTGTTAACATAGGACAATGAATCGGGGCTGTTGGAAGACTGATGAAAACGAGGAAGGTATAATTCGTGTTTTTTTTTATATTTTTTTTCTCACCCAACAGCTTTCCAATCATGCATATTTTTAAACGACTTTCATATGACTTCAACCTCATTATATTCACATCTCTGCTCTTTTTATAAGTTTTCCCTGTCTAAAAACGTACCAGAAATAGTATGTGACTTTTAGTGAATACCTTATTATAATTTACAGAAACTAGCTAGGACAAAAAAATAACGGTAATTTCAAGACAAGTTATGTGTTTTCTGTGAAATCTCATTCGTACACATCTACATCTACCTAAAAGTAGGTACTTCATTGTGTAACAGACGCAAAAAGTAATTATCCACACTAAAACGGATTTTATATGGTGCATACAAGTTTAAAACTTTCAAATTACGTTACAGATGATATAGGGAGATAATAATTTAATGATTCGATTTCGGAAACATTGTACGTGGTAAGAAATACTACACAAAGCTAGTTAGTCCTCCTTTGTTTTTTTTTTAATTTCGATATTTTCCAGGTGGAAAGTTTTAATTTAAACACCCATATGTACAACACAAAATTATTTTTCCCTTAGTAAAATATAGTTTTTTCAAAATCAAAAATAAAATGATATATGCATATTTACCAGATATTTTTTTAAATTTTATTTTACATACTTGCTACTGATTCCAAAAATCCATTAGGTGTGGATAAATAATAAAATCAAAGTCAACTTCTCAACAGTAGTTTGAATGTTTTACAGTGCGGAGGGCTAAATCCGACCGGCATCACAATTTTTCCAATCATTTATTCACGAAACTATATTCTTCCAAAAGTACAGGTTCAAAAGGTATTTCAGCAAAAAGTTTGACGTTTGAAAACTGTCCTGGTCACAGTCCATACACAAGTAACGTTTAGAAAAATGTGTTGGGGACACACCCTTATCGATTATTAGTTGTTACAGTGCCCGTTAGATTTTTCTAATATTTTAGGTTTTTGAGTGACCCACTGAAACATTTCAAAGATCAAAATGTGGTCACAATCAAAAAGACATAACTTCAAGAGTGAGTTATGGAACGAAAGGTACAAAGAAAAAGATACAGGTGCCAAAGGTATTTGTTATAAGAAGCGTATGCTAAGCTGTCTTTATATCACAGTCCTTTAAGAATGTGCCCGCTAATAGCTTCTTGTTTGATTGACTGCTACTAATTTTTAAATAACACTTGCAAGTGTGGCTATTATTAAAATATATATGTAATAAGATTATTAAAAATAAGTATTAATTATTGTTTGTGCAATAATTTTTTTCCAAGTTGTTCTAATGGTTTTAAACACTTAATGAATAATGTTTAACTAATAAAGGGCAAAGTTAACCGTTTTCTGCAGATATATTTAATTAATGTGCTAACTGGCTTGGATTGATAATTTCTTCGATTAGACATATAATTGGGTACCGGTACCCCATAATAAAAAATTTTTATATGCTCTAGCTGTATACATCGATATAGAAGAAGAAAAAGAGGATGACGATGACGGCAAAGAATACTCGAAATGGTCAGAATTGCCCGATTTACTTTTGGAAAAAATATTTTCTTACCTCGGCATTAGGGAAAAGTACTATGCGAGCTTGGTATGTCGCAACTGGTACAGGGCGTTTCATTTACCGTACGTATGGAACCGCTTCATTTTGCAAGACAACACTTTGACCAGAGCTAGGTTTAATTACTATTCCGGTTGGCAGGTATGTTGTATCAATGATTTATAAAATATCGCAATATTTCATTGACACCAAAGAAGGTAACAAAATATACTTTCCTTTGTTTAATACGCAAAAAATATTACTTGTCCTTCACATCACTATTTACCCTACTTTATCTATTATCTTGTAATTACTTGTCAAATATAAAAAATCAAATCTAAAGAGATATCTTTGAAACAGTGCAAACAATATGTTAAAGCATAATTACTTTGGCAAAATAAATAGAAATATATAGGGTGTCTCGGAAATAATTGAAAAAAAGAGAATGAAATGGTACAGCCCCTTGGTCAATTTTTCTCAAAAACCTGCGAATGATTTTGTACTTTTTTAAATTTAACGTATTTTTTAGTTTTATCTAATATTTTGTGAAATACAAGGGCTATCTTTGAATATGCTTTACTCAATATAACCCAGTGCATACCCTATTGGAAGCTACCACATGCACTGTTGTCAAATCTAGTCACTTTTGATCATATACATGATTTTCACAATATCAAACAGAAATTTAACAATGAAGATACACAAACACATCGAAATGAACCCTGAAATAAATAACTTATAAGATTGTACATTTACACTACACAGGACAGTAAACACCATTTAAAAAAATTAAAATTAAAAGTAATAAAATGCAACACTTCTATATAAATTCTATTTTGATTCCAACAAGAACTAATACTTTACATAGAAAGATGCTAAATATAATAAAATGAAATGGTGACATATTCGAATATTCTGTCAAAAATATCAATTGTTTAAAAACACTCCAACATTTATTTAATATTGTAGAGGGTTAGCCTGATGGATTAATCTGACAACTTATTGTGAGTTTATTATTGAAATTACAAAAGTTTTAGCTTTTTTATGAATTTTTATAATTTTTTTTTTTAATGGAACACCTTTATATATTAGTGCATACTTAGCTTCGTTAAATTTTTCTCATTTATATATAATATGTATATATTATGTATAATATGTTACTGTTTGATTCAGGATTTTTCGACATATTTCAGTTTAAAACTATTTTTGAAAAAATAGAAAGTAAAGAATGACCGCAAAAATTGCCCGTTTTTTGGCAATTCGCAGAGAACTGAAGAAAATAGATAAAAATATGTTTTTGGTCTCAAATTACTTGTCGTAAAAAATTAAGATGAGCATAGCTTTTGGTTTTTTGAAAATTTTCAAAAATCACCCCTATTTAGGGGTTGAAAAGAGGCCCAAAATGAAGAATTGAATATAAAAATAAATATAAAAACTATTAGCATGTGAATTTTTCTATCGAATGATTCTTGATACAAAGAAAGATTTTTTCTCATGACTGAAATAAGGAGGTTGAATTAGAAAATCCACTCTAAAGCACGCTCAGGGGGTGGAATCATCCCCAAAAATAGAGAATATCAGAAATAATTAAAAATATATTAAGATAATTCACATGCTAATAGTTTTTATATCAATTGGTAATATTCAAATTAATTATTTTTGGGTATTTTTTTAATTATCTGTGAATTGTCAAAAACATGCAAAAATCACAGGTTTTTTGCGGTCACTCTTTATGTTTGACGGAGCGCAGTGGCTATGGATGAGGCACGCGGAACAAACAAATGACTTTGACAGAAGTTTATTTATCATCATTAATTTATTTCCTATAACAAAGGAATAATTTTTAGTGAAAACGAAAAATTTGAAGTTATCCATTTATTTTATGATAATAATAAAAATCATTCTTAACTTTAACAAGTCTTAACTACCAACCAACTAAAATTATTATTGATGCACTATGTATAATCATCATTAATTTTTCAGAACTGCATTTAGTATGAAATGGGAATTAAATGCACTTAAATTTTGTATATATTGATCAAATTTATGTCTTAGTTCATCTAAGTTTACACTAGTTTCCTTATAAACCTCGATTTTTAAGTAACCCCAAAGAAAACTGTCCGAAGGTGTAAGGTCTGGGCTACTTGAAGGCCATTGAATATTTCCTCCATTACCAATCCACAAATCAAACCTATTATTTAAATCCCCAGTCAAAGCACCTTCATAAAATAGTGGGCCAATGATTTTATTTCTCAATATACCACACCAAACATTAAACGATGTGCGTCTGTGACTTGGAATTTCCCTATTACAGTGAAGATTTCATTTGCCCAGGTATGAGTATTTTTTCCATAAAATCTTTTCAAAATAGTTTAGGTCGCTATTTTTTTTATTTTGGGTGAGTTTTTAGACCGGCATAGTTTTATAGGGGCCGTATTTATATTTATGTAACATTATAATAATTTTACTTTGGCTTGTGGCCTTTGTACAATAATTTAATATTTGAATTTACCATGATAAACCTCGAATGAATATTTGCTTACCTTGAAAATATAGTAATATAGTTAGTTTTAATTCTTCATTTGGAATAATTCTTCGTTTCTGTTTTCCAAGAGATTTTGTTTCTCTAAAACTTTGCTCAATATTGTAAAATGCAGCTCGAGATGGAATTGGAAACCCGGGATGCAAACGAGCATACTTGGCACGCGCTACATTCACATTATTATTATTCTTGTAAAATAAACGAATAACTTCAAATTTTTAGTTATTTCTTTGTTAAAATAGTTTGTTATAGGAAATAAATTTAATGATGATAAATAAACTTCTGTCAAAGTCATTTGTTTGTTCCGCGTGCCTCGTCCATAGCCACTGCGATACCTTAGACATAAATTTCCCTTCTGTCTTTTCAAAAATAGTTTTAAACTGAAATATGTCGAAAAGTCCTGAATCAAACAGTAACATATTATATATTTTTGAAAAGAGAAAAATTTAACAAAGCTAAGTATGCACTAATACATAGGGTGTTGTGTTAAAAAAAAAATTTAATTTAATGATTTCCATTATTCAATTGTTTTTTCGAATACTGTATTATAAAAATTCATAAATAAAAAACTTTTTTGTAATTTCAATAATAAACTCACAATAAGTTGTCAGATTATAGTGACTAACCCTGTACATTTAACCCACCTTTTTAATTTGCAGTACGTTCTGGACCACCTTCGTTGCCAAATGTGTCTCTCCACGGTGGGCAAGAACATCAAATACCTAACGATAGAACCAATGCTAAACTTTTATAACTTGTACGAGTTCATGAACATGATTTCGTGGTACACCGAACAACGCGAGGAAAAGGAAAACGTGGAAATAGGCATAGGCAGCAACATACAATCCTTAAAATTCACCTTTCCCTGCAACATGACGACCAGAGAGGACACTGAGAGGATTCGCCTGTTTGGCACCGGCGGCAAACTCTTGGCCGCCTTAAAAAGACTCATGGGCAACTTGAAAAAGTTGCAATGGCTAGAACTGACGGATTTAATGCTAGATCCCAAAGAAGCGCAATACCTGTTGGACGAAGTTTGTGAAACTTGTTGTCTAACGCTTCGCAATCTGCATATCGTCAATACCACCAGGGTGCAGTACCAGATGCTGCATGTGGGAGTATTTCTAAACTTGCGAGTAAGCCAAACGTATATCTTTAATAATTTTACAGGGTGTAATAATAAGCGCGGGTCAAATAATCTTTTTATACACTCTGAGTTGTTTTTTAGGAGTTGATTATCAGTCCCCAAAACTTGGGCGATGATTTAGTCGAGTTGCTCAGCTTTACCAAGTTAAAACATCTACACATACTACAAAACAGGTATACTCCGAACGATATCAATATCAAACCGGTGTCCCCACAAGTTTGGAAAAAGTGCCGACAAAATAATCCCACTTTAAGTGTTCACTTACAACTCGAAAGCGTAAAGGAGAAACCAATTATCTGGCAAGAAAACGCACCTGCGAGGACTGTTTTGTACGACTCGCCACATATCGGAGTAAGTTAATAATAAAGGCATATACCTATTACACTTTATCGATGTTTTGCCATTTTTATCAAGTTAAAGTTAGCCATTTTTAATATATTAAAAGAAAGTAAAGTACAAAATCAGTCAAGTTATATACAGGGTGGCCAATTGAAAACGAAACGGAACTATTTTCAGGAACTGCGTCTAGATTGTAGAAAAATGCTCAGACCCGTCGATTTTAGATTAAAGGGGGACATTCTTTGCTGGTATTTTTGACTCCGCCACTTTCACCCCCAAGCAAGGGTAAGCATCACCCAAAAATATTTAAATGGCATTGGGGGTTGAGTAATATTTCTTTCGAAAGCTCTTACAATTCTCTTTACAACAGACTTTAAATTTTATAATTCCGCCCAATACTTTGAAAAAAATTTACATTTTAAAATTTAATTTATGTTTAGTTACTTACTTACTACTTAGTTGATTAAATATTCAAACTGATTACTGCCCGCTTCCATACAAGAATAAAGATTTTGTTCGAAACGTTCGCGCATATTCCGAAGCATTTCCGGAGTGATTCGACGGCATTCGTCGACGATTTTTTGACGCAAATCTTCCAGCGACGCTGGCTGTGTTTTATAGATTTTACTTTTTAGGTATCCCCACAAAAAAAATCAACGGGCGATAAATCCGGTGATCGTGGAGGCCTCTCAATGCTGCCTCTTCTCCCAATCCAATTCCGTAGAAAAGGTTGATCCAAATACTGACGGACAATTAAAGCATAATGCGGAGGAGCAGCATCGTGTTGAAAAATCAAATGATCTTCATCATACTCTGGAACATTTCCAATAATATCAGTCAAGGCAGGGTCAATAGCGTCTTCCAGTAACTGCAAATACATTTCGACAGTCAAATTACCAGGTAGAAAAAAAGGACCCACCAGCCAGTCACCAAAAATTCCAGCCCATACATTTAATTTTTCCTGTTGCTGTGTATACACCTCGTGAAAGACTCTTGGGTTTGAATCGGACCAATAGCAGCAATTGTGACGATTTACCGTCCCGTTCAAGAAAAACAGATGTTAAAAAGGAACTGTGGATCGTTCCCTGCTCGCTCACTCATTATTTCGCAAAATTGCAAACGGCGGTCATAATCATCCTCATGAAGTTCCTGGACTAAATGTATTTTGTATAGATGGAATTTATTCTTCTTCAAAATGGTTTGTATGCTAGTTCGATTGATCCCAGACACAGATGCCAGCTGCCTCGTACTTAATGTAGGATCAAGATGAACTTGTCCCAAAACTGCAACTTCACTAGCTTCATTAACTATAGGTTTTTCAATTTCTCGTTTTTTATTGGCTACGTTCCCTGTCTCTTGAAATTTTTTTACTAACTCTAGAACATACTTCCTCCTGACATGTCGATCTTGATGTTGTTCATTAAATAGCTGAGCTGTTCTATTCGCACATTTATTGTTCATAAAGTAAAGCGAAATGATATCTACCCTTTCCGCAATGGAATAAACCATAGTGTTTAATTTTCAAAAACACAATTAAATAAACTACCAACCAACGCTTCCAAATAATACTAGAAAATAATTTGGAATCCACTAATTTTACGTTCATTGTGTGTGTATAGCATTCATTTCTGTTTTTTACAATTGTGTTTTTTTTACGAAAGTGATAACAAATCGCCAAAAACCAATGTAACGCAAGAAATACTAAATTTATACCATTGGCGTACTTAACTCGAATGACTGACATTTTTACCGTTACTAATTGTTTGTACATAAGTTTCAACTTTAAAATCAAAATTCTTAATAAGTATTGGGCGGAATTATAAAATTTAAAGTCTGTTGTAAAGAGAATTGTAAGAGCTTTCAAAAGAAATATTACTCAACCCCCAATGCCATTTAAATATTTTGGGGTGATGCTTACCCTTGCTTGGGGGTGAAAGTGGCGGAGTCAAAAATACCAGCAAAGAATGTCCCCCTTTAATCTAAAATCAACGGGTCTGAGCGTTTCTCTACAATCTTGACGCAGTTCCTGAAAATGGCTCTGTTTCGTTTTCATTTGGCCACCCTGTATAATAAAATCATACAATTATTAAAAAAATTGTATGTTTTGATCAAAAATAACTTACTTTGCAATTCCTTTTTTAAAAAAAAACGAATGTTAAAATTGAACGTTGTGTTTTATATGAAACCGAAGAATGTTTTAAATGTAGAGCTCTGAGGATGTAATAAATATGACGAAATGTTGACAAAGCGGTTTTTTGCTTCCTAAACTTCCAGATCAAAAAAGGAAGGTCCCAACTAAATATATAAATAAAAATAATGCATTAAATTTGTCTAAATGTGTATATTTTCAGCTGAGAACAGACGCGTTGGTGACAACCATTGAATTTTACCATGAACACTTGAGAATATACGGGCACAAGGGTATCCCTAGGTTCCACAGGTCTAGATCCTTCACAGAACGCATAGACGAAAACTTGATGATGCTCGTGCGACAATGCACATACTTGTCTACCCTTGTAAGCATTTAAATTATAAATGAAGAATTTTTCAAAAAAAAATTGTTAAGACTCTCCGTAAGCTTTTTTTTTATTTCAGGTTGTGACGGAACGAATATCTACGGCAACGGTTCTCCTTCTCGCTTACCACGGCAAAAACTTGAAATGGCTGTTCATCAGAGGGAACGCGGTTATTATAAAGACCGACTGGAAACAAGGTTCGGACTGGACTGATGAATTTTATTCTTGGTTAAAAGTCAATAGTCGGTCATATGCTTTAGTCGAAAAAGAGGTTTCCCAGATATTTGGGTACAAATGGAAATTTCTCACAGATAAAGAATTTTTGAGACTGAACGTAAATTTGCACGATTATTAAACTGTTATGATGAATTATGCTCATTAAAAACAAATTCTATTTTGTGAGGAACTTTTGAAAGGGACAAAGAATGATCCTGGATACACACACAGAAAATTGTTTGGATCGAGCAAACTCAGACACAGACAAGTTTTGTTTACCATGAATCCGAACAAAAATTAAAAATTTTAATCATTCGTTCAGCACGAAATCATTCACCATTTATTAACGAAAGTGAAAATGTGCATTAAAACTATTTTAGTAAAAGTAAATTTAAGCAAATTCAATGCCGATTAATATTAAGAATTGGTACTGGTGATTATGTTAACATGGAAGGAAGAATCATTCAGATTTTTTATTTAACCTTTTATTGTACAAGTACAAGTGTAAAGTATTTAAAAAATTATGCCACAAAAAATTTTGCTGACAAATATCATGCATCTCTACAACTTAAGAGACATGATTTAAACTAAATGGAATGTGTTTTTTTTTTCACTGCAAACCTACTTGCATTTTATCGATATATTTTTTAGACAAGTACGATTTTCTGAATAGCTTGTGATGCAATACGCAGATTAGTTTTAAGTAATTTATTACATGAATTAAAATTGTGAAATAAATTGTTTATATATTAAATAAAGAAATATTTAAAACATGCTTCTTTGTTTAAATCATAATTTCACTGAAGCAACAAAAATTGCAATAATAGCTAGAACTGTTTGCTTTTAAGCACAATATAATTTACTTCACCAAATATCGCCCAACATTACACAAAAATATAACAAGACATTATTGAAACTCGGCAAAAAAATTAAAAGACCAGAAAAATTTCCAATTTTTTTTTAGTGATTTTTGAAAAGATGTAACTTCACAAATAATGGTTGTATCGGGAAAAAAATGGAAGCATTTTGAGGCTTGAAGATTAAAATTTTGAAATCCTGCGATGAAAAATTTTACAATTTTTTTTTTTTCAAAACTACCCATGGGCTCAGAATATTTTTTTCTGGCTTAATCAATGTCAGTGTCATTTAGCCCAATTCATCAGCTTCAATTTGTTTTATTTTTATTTCCTGTACGATTATTTCTCGTTGAGATATCGGCTATCGAGTGGTCACCTTTTTTTTTAACTATTGATCGTACAGTGAACGGAAGGTGGATTTTAGAAACCTGAATCAATCCTCAATGGCCTTCTGTTGTGTTTGAGAAAAAATTTTTCTTTATACTCATTAATTTGAAAAAGTGCAAATAAAAGACTTTTTCTGCTGTCTTGGAAAATCAACGACTACCTTGCAAACATTGCGAAAAGTATCAATGTTTGTAAGTTATTTTTAGCTCAATACATGCTTATGAGGTCTGTATATTTTGAAATCGATCGGTCGAACCGTTTTCCTTTTCTGAATCGTCAGTTTTATAAAAAATTAAAGTAGGTTTATTGCTCCTTAAACATTAACATGAAACAAATTAAATTTTTTTGCATTATTTTTCTCACAATTTCGCGTTAAATACATATCAAATATGGAAAAAATATTCAAAATTTTGAAAAAAAACAAATATTTAATATTTCCAATGTCGAGAAAATTTTCTTTTGTCAAATTTAAAATACTTGTTTTCAAAATTTCAAAACTTTTTAAAATTTATTTGCGTCCTCTTTTTTACAATTTTACATTGAATATTTCAAACGTCGAGAAAAAATTTTTTTTTTTAATTTAAAAACTTCAAAATTTAGAATTTTTTTTTTCGGTTTGATATTAAGCAAAATATTCAAATTTTCAAAATTTTTTAAAATTTATTTACGTCCTCTTTTTTACAATTTTATATTGAATATTTCAAATATCGAAAAAAAAAATTTTTTCAAATTTAAAAAATTTTAATTTTCAAAATTTTAATATCAAATCGAAAAAAAAATTTAAATTTAGAAAATTAAAATGTTTTACATTAAAAAAAAATGTTTTCTTGACATTTGAATGTAAAATTGTAAATAAGACGCAAATAAATTTTAAAAAGTTAAAAATTCGAAAATTTTACATACTAAAACCAAAAAAAAAAATTCAAAATTTTGAAAATATTTTAATTTCAAAAAACAAGATTTTTTTCTCGACAATTGAAATATTCAATGTAAAACTGTAAAACAGAGGACGCAAATACATTTTAAAAAATTTTAAATTTTCAAAATAAAATTTCTTAAATTTCAAAAAAAAAATTGTTTTTCTTGACATTTGAAATATTCAATGTAAAATTGTAAAAAGGAGGACGCAAATAAATTTTAAAAGGTTTTGAAAATTAATAAATAAAATTTTTTAATTTCAAAAAAAAATGTTTTTCTCGCCATTTGAAATATTCAATGTAATATTGTAAAACAGGACGCAAATAAATTTTAAAAAGTTGAAGTTGAAAAAAGTTTTTTCCTCGACATTTGAAATAGGTATTCAATGTAAAATTGTAAAACGGAGGAAGCAAATAGATTTTAAAGTTTTGAAAATTGAAAATAAAATTACTTAAAAAAAAAAATTTTTTTTCCTCGACAATTGACAGGTATTCAATGTAAAATTGTAAAAAAGAGGACGCAAATAAAATTTAAAACGTTTTGAAATTTTGATAAAATTTTTTAAATTTCAAAAAAATTTTTTTTCTCTCCATTTGAAATACTTATTCAATGTAAAATTGTAAAACAGAGGACGTAAATAAATTTTAAAAAGTTTTGAAAATCTGAAAATAAAATTTTTTAAATTTCAAAAGAAAAAATTTGTTTTCTTCGACATTTGAAATATTCAATGTAAAATTGAAAAAAGGACGCAAATAAATTTTAAAAAGTTTTGAAATTTTGAAAATAAAAGTTAAGATTTCAAAACTAGAATATTCAAGCTTCAAGATGCTTTTTTTTTCTCGATATGACTGTTATTCACGAAGTTACAACCTTTCAAAAACCACTAAAAAAGTTTGAAAAATTTTTTTGGAATGCTTTTAATTATGTATGAAAATGTAATTATTCTTATAATCTTATAATTCATTTTGTGTCGTTCTCATTTGCTACATTCAGCCGATAGAATCGATGAGTGGAACCACGTTCTTTTATTCATCATTAGTATACAATGGATTATGTACAGCCAATCAGAACCTAGGATTGTTTAAATAGACCAATAATATTACATGGATAGAATTCATCGCATCAAAACGATGAATATAAGAACACGACCTAACTCATCGATTCTGTTGGCTGAATGTAGCCATTGTTTCCATTGCTTCCCAAACTATGCTTTCGCTGCTACTCAATGCCTACAAAAAGGTACTTTGTGTCTACTGCTGTAGGTCGCTCTATATGGTATAACCTATATGTCATCTTAAATGTCATCGCTACTCATCTGGCACACAACATTCCTTTGTACCTAACAACAAAGAACCTACCAATCTGTAACTGAAAGCTTGACTAAACGAAATATGTCGTGATCCTTTAGCATTGTCCCAATTTTCAAAACTTTGACATTGTAGGTACTTAAAACCATGTTTCCTTATTGACCTCTGCCAATATATGAGTTTAATAAATTTTGACCCAGGATAAAAATACTACATAACGCGACTCACCTTTTATTCATTTTTGGGTATATTAATGAACATCTGCGCATACATATGCCCTAGAGTTTTTATGTTCCTTTGCATGATAATTCTTAAAGTATTCGTATAAACTTCCGGCGGCCTGGCGAGAATCGGGTCCCTCCAGTGTATCCCGTTTGTATCGCAACCGAACAATGCAGGGGACGGGATGTGGTCGCGCATATACAACCAAATGGATTCCCTTAGAATTGCCACGATCTGAAATTTATTTCCATAGTATAGCTAGTGCTTGCAGTTAAAATTACGGAGCTCACCTCGAAGCACTTTAAATGCGGAATCACATCTCTAATACTAGAAAGGGGAGGAGGTAAAAGTTGTCCCAGTGCCATAACATCGATTACTTTTACGGTGGTGTCCATAAGGCTCTTGTAGTTTTCCGACTCGTCGGCCTTACTTTGTTCCCCCATGCTCTTCCACTGATGTATCAAGGTGGCAGTTAACGCCCTTAATAAAACGGAACAATAGCAGATTGCCGGTCGATAGACCGCCACCAAACTTAAAAGTTCCCAGAGTAGGGGTGTATTCGTGAACATCCTCCTAATAAAAAGGTCCCTTTCCATTGTAACCTAAATGTATTCAATTTTTTGTAATTGATATACAACATAACGAACCCTTTCCTGTCAAAAGTTATAACCAGAGTTTGGAACCACGGAGTTTACGTATGAAATCCTCAGGGCAAGCGTTGCTTTTTTTTAATCCAATAGACCAGGGCGGATCTGTCGAAATATCCTACTTCTTGGATGTAAGAGGAGGCAAGCTAATTTTTGCCGGAATAACTTCAATACAACTCACATAATAAAAGTGTAGATCCCTAAATCTGGGCGAGGTCCGGAACATTTTCAAAATTGCAAAAATGTTTAAAAATTTTATAAAAATACCTATTTTATCTGAGTTTTTTACTTATATGGACCCTATGCATTTTGGAACAATATTTAAGAGGGAAAAAGTTTTAGAATTGAATTTTTTCACAATATACTGTAAGTTAAAAATGTTTAAAGGACCCCGCACAAACCTTATGTGAAATTCCGTTCGGTCGATTTTAATGAAATTTTGGGAATAGGTTGTTTTGTTATGAGGAACAAAAGTCTTCATGGGCCCAAAGTTCGCTAATGTACAGTTTTCGAGATATTCGATGTTAAAAGTTGATTATGCGAATGCCTGTCAAGCACGTGTTTAAATGCGTAAAAGCTCCATGAAGCTTCTTAAAAACTGTATAATACGTATATATTCGTCTAGATAGTGCGTATCCATTCGTTTGTGTGTGTGTGTGTGTGTGTTGATCTTGATCAATTATATATTTTATTTCAGTTATTAGCGTATGATTGTATCCAAAGTAACTCCAGAGTAACACCCAAGATAGAGTAGTCGAAACAACTTTAGGATACAGTTTCTCGCGTGTTTTTAAATCAGTATTTCAAAATATATATCGAAAAATAGGGTGTTTTTAAATATACTTATTCTATTAGAAAAAAATCTTCTTTATTGAACATCGTAGTTTAGATATCCAACTGTGAGTAATCTATCGATATGGATAGCAGAGAATATTTTAATGTGAAGATATTAGAAATATTATACTATTATTTATGAGTACCTCAAATATTTAGAATGTTGAAAAATATCAGTTTCGTTGGACTTATTGTCAAATAGTTCTTACTTGATATTACTGTTCAATTACCATTCACTTGCAGTTTTTGGTGTTATACTCTCGATATTGCTTTGGTCATTTTTTCATAGGTGTGTTCATTTTATAATTAGCAGTTCAGCTTGTTGCAATATAAATGGCTTTCAGATTACAAATACAACGTTATAGTTGCGATCGGGATATGGTACATTTAAATAGAGTGGTAAATGTAGATGTTTTTGGAGATATTGCTATAAATCGACGATATGACGCAGGTCTCCCTCCAGCAATTGTTACACCTGAGAGTCGAATATGTAATAATTGCTCTATCTACTATTTCAATTTCACGACGAATAGTTTGGAAGCAATTATTACATATTCGAGTCTCGGGTGTAACAATTGCTGGAGGCAGACCTGCGTCATTTCGTCGATTTATAGCAATATCTCCAAAAACATCTACATTTACCATTACCATTCTATTTAAATGTACCATATTTCGCGGGGCGAAAGCCCGATCGCAACTATAACATTGTATTTGTAGTCTGAAAGCCATTTATATTGCAACAAGCTCAACTGCTAATTACAAAATGAACAAACTTGTGAAAAAATGA